CCGCCAGTCGTTCACACTTCCGGCCTCTCCGCAGCAGAATGGAGTTGCTGAGCGCCGCATTGGCTTAGTCATGGAGGTCGCTCGTACCTCCATGATCCATGCGGCGACTCCCCATTTTCTGTGGCCGTTTGCTGTCCGGTACGCCACGCATCAGCTCAACCTCTGGCCCCGTGTCTCCTTGCCGGAGACCTCGCCCACACTGCTGTGGACGGGAAAGGTTGGCGATGCGTCGCGTTTCCGGGTCTGAGGTGCTCGTGCCTTTGTCCGCGATACCACCGCGGACAAGCTCTCCGCTCGCGCCATTCCCTGTGTCTTCCTTGGTTTTCCTCCTGACGCGCCTGGCTGGCAGTTTTACGACCCCGCTTCGCGCCGTGTCTTTGCGTCTCAGGACGTCACCTTTGACGAGTCAGTCCCCTTTTACCGTCTCTTTCCCTACCGCACTGCCCCTCACCCCCCTCCGCCGCTCTTTCTCGCTCCAGGTCCTCCCCAGGTAGACCCCCTCCCCGCGCCAGGTCCTGCTCCTTCAGGTGTTTCTCAGGTAGACCCGCGAGGGCCTGCGCCTGTTGAGGTCACTGGTGACTCAGGTCCTGCTGGGGGTGGTCCTGCTCGGGGTGCTGTCTCTGGGGGTGCTGAGCCTGGGGTTGCGGAGCCTGAGCGTGAGGAGCCTGTGGTTGCTGGGCCTGGGGGTGCGGAGTCTGGGGGCATTGAGCTTGCGTGTGAGGAGCCTGAGGGTGCTGAGCCTGGAGGTACTTAGACTGAGCGTGAGGAGACTGGAGGTACTGTACCTGGGGGTGCTGCGTCTGGGGGTGCTGAGCCTGAGCGTGAGGAGCCTGGGGGTGCTGAGTCTTGGGGAGAGGCGCCTGAGGGTGCTGAGCCTGCTGCTACGTGGTCTCCTTGGAGTGGCCGCCTTCGTCCGCGTGCGCCTCTCTCCCCACAGCAGCTGCACGAGTGGTACGCTCGTCGTCAGGGTCGCGCTGCTGGAGCTCGGGGCTCTGCCGCTGGAGGTGCTTCTACTGACGCCGCTGGAGCTGGGAGTGGTGCTGGTACTCTGTCTACCGGAGGTGCTGGAGTAGCTGGTCCCGGAGGTGCTCGTACTGGAGGTACTGGAGCTGCTGGGGCTGGAGGTGCTGCGTCTGGGGGTGCTGCTACTGGAGACACTGCGGCTGGAGACCCTGGGACTGGAGGTGCCAGTTCTGGGGGTGCTGCTGCTGGAGACACTGAGGCAGGATGCCCTGGGACAAGAGGTGCCGGTTCTGGGGGTGCTGCTGCTGGAGACACTGAGGCTGGAGACCCTGGGACTGGAGGTGCCGGTTCTGGGGGTGCTGCTGCTGGAGACACTGAGACTGGAGACCCTGGGACTGGAGGTGCCGGTTCTGGGGGTGCTGCTGCTGGTGACGCTGGTCCTGGAGGTGCTGGCGCTGGAGGTTCAGTAGCTGCTGGCGGTGCTGGCGCTCGAGGAGCTGGGGCTGGAGGTTCTGGAGCTGCTGGAGGTGCTGGAGGTGCTGGAGCTACTGGAGGTGCTGGGGGCACTGCGCAGCCACGACTGTTCTTCGCTCCGCCGTCTCCGTCGTCTCTGCCGCCGCCTGACTCTGTTCTTCGTCAGGTTCTTACCCTCCCGTCGTCTACTGGTCTTCCGTTACAGCCTGGCTCACCTCTGCCTGCTCCTTGTCCTTACACTGAGCAGTCGGGAGGTCTTGCTGAGCGTCGTGAGCCTGCGTCGCGTCCTGTCTCGCCTGTTCGCACTGTCCGCACTGGTCGTACTGGTAGTCGTGTTCCTCGTCCGCGTCCGCCGGCTGTCCCCGGCACACACCTCATGGCTCTGCGTCCTTCCTAGGCTCCACAGCGTGTTCCTCTGCCTTCTCCTCCTGCGTCTCCTCTGCCTGACGTTGCCGACCCTGAGACTGACCGGTTTCGTGCTGCACACCCTACTGTCACGCGTCTCCTAGCCACTGTTGTCACCGACCCGTCGTTTGAGTCTGCTGCTGCGTCTGCCTTAGTCGCTGAGCTTGTTGACTTTGTTGCTGCCTGTCGTTTCGACTAAACCGCTAGTCTTGTTGCTGAGTCTGAGTCAGTCTGTCCTCCGTCCGTCGGGGGTGAGTGTGCTCTTGGCATGGACGTCCTTGAGGACAGGCAGGAGGACCTTGAGTGTCTTGCAGCCGCTGCGCCTCATCTCGTGGCCATGCTGCTTGCCCCTGAGGGAGACCCGGATGCACCAGACATCCCGAACCCGCGCTCTTACGCAGAGGCGATTTCGGGTCCCTACTCCTCTCTATGGCTGACAGCCATGGACGCAGAGATGGCATCTTGGAAGTCCACAGGCACCTACGTAGATGAGGTTCCCCCTCCTGGGGCGAACATCGTCGATGGCATGTGGATTTTCAGGGTGAAGCGACCGCCGGGTTCTCCCCCTGTCTTCAAGGCTCGTTACGTTGCTCGAGGCTTCAGTCAGCGGGAGGGAGTTGACTTCTTCCAGACCTTCTCCCCCACCCCGAAGATGACCACTCTTCGGGTGCTGCTGCACGTTGCCGCTCAGCGTAACTACGAGCTTCACTCTCTTGACTTCAACACAGCCTTCTTACAGGGCAGACTGCACGAGGAGATCTGGCTGCGCCGCCCACCTAGCTTCACTGGGTCATTCCATCTTGGTACCCAGTGGAGCCTCCGCCGGCCAGTCTACGGTCTCCGTCAGGCGCCTCGTGAGTGGCACGACACACTGAGGACGACACTTGCGGCTCTTGGGTTTGCACCTTCTACTGCTGACCCGTCGCTGTTTCTACGCACCGACACTAGGCTGCCGCCGTTCTACATCCTCGTGTACGTCGACGACTTGGTCTTTGCCACTGCTGACACTGAGGCTCTCGCCCTTGTGAAGTCGAAGCTGCAGAAGAGACACACGTGCACAAACTTGGGTGAGCTGCGCAGCTACCTTGGCCTGCAGATCACCCGGGACAGAGCACGGCGCACCATCACACTGACTCAGTCACACATGGTGCAGCAGGTCCTTCAGCGCTTTGGCTTCACTTGGTCCTCGCCACAGTCCACTCCCTTGGCTACAGGTCACTCGCTCTTAGCTCCACCTTCGGACGAGTCCGTAGAGCCGAGTGGTCCGTACCCAGAGCTAGTGGGCTGCCTCATGTACCTGATGACCTGCACTCTTCCTAACCTCGCGTACCCTCTTGGCCTTCTGGCATGCTACGTGGCTCCTGGTAGGCACCGAAAGGTGCACTGGGAAGCTGCGAAGAGGGTACTGCGCTACTTGTGCTGTACATCGGGCATGGGGCTCGTGCTTGGAGGCAGGGTTCTCGCTAGGTTTAGGGGCTGTCTGACAGTACCTTGAAAAAAAAATTCTCCGTCTTAGGCTCGGATGAAGAAACTTCCGTGGTCTGCATTATAAGCTGAAATATTTTTCCTAGTCTGATAAACAAGACGAAAAAAATAAATCCAGTTAAAAGTCAGCCTACTGTAATCCTACCAGCAAGCCTAGGAAATGCAAATGCGCTGGCACAACGAGACAGCGCGTTGGCGTGGCTGTGGCTGGCGTCGGCGCCGACAGCCAGCCACACGACAAACTCCTGGCAGCATATGCCGCAGTTACATGCCAGCGAGGCTGCTATAAGACACGCGTAATGAATGCGCGTGCTGTTACAGGGCAGCAAATGGCTGTACCTGTGGTGGTCCTATCCTCTGGTCCACTGGGCATATGGCCTTGCGGGTCAAGATGTCGGTTTCAGACGAAACCGAACTCGATATCTGTGTATTCAGATTAAGAATTCTACACGGTCTGGAAAATCATACGAACCTAAAACGCTAATCTTACTGATCAGATGAGAACAAACACAGATTCTTAGGAAGCAGATGAATACAAAAAAACAAGTCTTAAACTCAGACCATCAGACCAAATTGGTCTGATAACGAGAACCCTGATTGGAGGGCGGAGCTCAGCTGTCCTTACTGGGCACTCAGACGCTTCTTGGGTTGACGACCTGGCTACGCAGCGGTCGTCACAGGGTTACACGTTCAGCCTTGGCTCTAGCTCTGTTTCTTGGCGGTCTACACGCTCGTCTTCAGTTCTCACCTCCAGTTGTGAGGCTGAGATCTACGCTGCACAGGAGCTACGCTGGCTTACCTACCTGCTGACCGACTTGGGAGAGAGGCCTCGTTCTCCTTCAGTTCTGTACGTCGACAACAAGGCTGCCATTGCCTTGTGTCAGGACCCAGAGTGGAGCACAGAACGAATAACATCGCTCTGCGTTACTTCCTTGCTTGAGAGTTGCAGCAGCGTGGTCAGCTTCGTGTCGCTCACGTGCCCACCCGGGCCAACACGGCTGATGTGTTCACCAAGGCCCTTCCGGCTGGTGATCATCAGCGCTTCTGCACTGCTCTAGACCTGGTGCCTACGTTTCCACACTTGCTGTAGACTCTGCTTGTACTGTGATCTCTATATATATACCTGCATGTTTACTCTTGCTAGGTAGTGATCACTGTACTGTTGTTGTTCCTACTCTTAAACCCATGTTAGAAGAGTAGGAAGGAATGATTTGAGTAACGAGAGAGTTGGGTACACGAATGAGAACCCTAAGGGGTTGTACCCTACATTGGCTACCCCACTACAGCCTACCCTTAATTATAATTCATATATATAGTTAGACAAAACTCCGCCAATTTCGCGCAGCTACTGAAGTTGACCTGAGTTGGTTCCATGCGACATCCTTTGCAACATTCACGAAGCCGGTAACCAGGACTAGTTCAGCCGGTTTTATGAACTTTGATTCAAAAGCACCGCACCCTGATTCAAAAGCACCGCACCCTAAAGGAGCAGAAGTTGGGCATTGAACCTCAATTAGAATGATTACAACCTGCCTAGTACCTGCCCTGCTGAGGCATGACAGCTTTACACTTATCTATTTGGACCCTATGATGCACACTGCATCTCAAAACAAGCTCGCAAATCGCTTCCGCGCGAGCAGGATCTCTTCTATAACGTCTTGGCGTCTGCGCATCTAGTCGCGCTTGATGTTGATGAGCGGCTTGCCGAGGTACATGATCTCGCGATCGACCATGCCGTTGAAGAGCACCGCGAACGACGCGTACCACGCTGCACGCACGAGGGGCACACGGGAAAGCACGGGAGGTCATGATTAGCCACCCGCGTTTTCAAACCTCGGAAATGCATCATCCAGAAACACATTGGTCGGAACATATCGACGCAAATGCGGTTTATCTTTCCACGAGTGTGCGAAACCCGCGCCTCTTTTCGCGGGGCTTACCCGAGACGGAGGTGAAGACGCCGATGTAGCCGCCGGCGGTGATCCAGGAGGCACCGCCGTCGACGGGTTGCTTGAGGAAGTCGCCGATGATGAGGCAGACGAGCGTGAGCTCGTACAGGCCGAACACCACCACGTTCACCACGGACAGCGTGAACGCCGCCGCCAGCATGTACGTGTTGAACAGGAAGAACGCCACCAGGAACCACGCCTCCGCGCCCGCCACGTCGTAGTCCGCCGGCACCTGCACGTGACCACACGCAGGCACGCGGAGCGGAGCACGCGCGGGGAGAAGAGACGCGGGCGAGGCGGAAGTTGGAAAACGGGGTAACTCTAAAACGAAACAGAAATGTAGGAAGTGACGGGATTGCGATGCGATCTGGCAGTGCATTGTGGGGTCCCGGCCAGTGGGCTTACCCATTTCCAGAGCTTGAAGCAGTAGAAGAGGCCGAGCGACATCCAGAAGCAGCCGTAGGAAGAGAAGGAGGTGGAGGAGAAGACGCAGTTGCGCTTGTACTGCCACATGCCCGCCACGAACTGCCCCAAGCCGCCGTAGAACAGCGCCACCGTCACCCACGTCAAGTCGGGCGCCCACCCTGCGCTCTCAGCACGGGAATATGTCAAGCGTCGATGAAAAGCGTTGATAATTCAAGGTCAGGGCCGAAATTAAAAGCTGCGCAATGCGCGTATTGAGAGGAGAACAACTCACCGGCGAGGTAGGAGGAGAGGATGAACATTGTGCCGGCGAAGGCTCCCAGGCCGAAGGAGGAGGCGTCGGCTGGTAGCGACTTCTCGGTGATCACACGCACGTCATCGGAAAGCCCGTCCTCGAGACCCATGCTGGCGATATGACTTGAAGTCTTGTTGGCGCTAGTAGTTGCTGGAGATCCGAGCGGCGTCGAGGTGTGCTAGAATTGATGAAATAGAAGCAGTGAGGGATGCTTTCGTGGTCGAAGGAATGGTTGCAATGAAATGCAAGTCGAATGAGCAGCGCGGATATGTAGTGGCCTGGCCAGACGCAGCGTGATGAGTTGGGGAAAGTGGCTAAGGGGGGAAAGAGGTGGGGACGGGGGTACAGAGATGGAGGGAGAGGGGGGAGGGGGGGAATGTTGGGTTGGGAGGAGTGGGTATGGACGGGGCAAAGGTTGAGCGGATTGGGGGGATCTGAGCAGAGCGGTTTGGCGGAAAATGCTTCTCCCACGTGCGCCATCCGCCACGTCCAGCGAGACGCGGCGCGTGCGAAAAATGGGAGTTTGTCGAGCTGTCCTCCAAATCAGCAACTATATTTTTTGCTGCTCCGACGTGGCGAAACTTTTGGAACACGTGATAAACTCGGGGCAGAAAAAGTCCTCGAGGCTAAGCTATGGTGCGTTGCGATTGGTTTTTTGCTTGACCTTTTATGAGTCAGCAAGGCGTCTCATCGTGATAGATGGAGGCGGAACCACGTGATTCGTCACTAAACGACCTTCCAAAGTCCAATGCGGCACAAAATATCTGTCATGCTGGATATCATCAGCGCGGCCCGCTCCAAATCTGAAGGAAATGGCAGCGCGCGATCCGAGCTAGGTCTTCCGCAATTGCTGCTCACACAAACCCCCCTTGCGGCGGAAGCCCTTCCCCGCTCCGCGCCATTCACCGCGAACCTCTCGTCCCCCAAACTTCTCCAACTTTCCCTTCTGGCGCATCACGTTCTCCCCCACCGAGCTCAAGTATTTCTCCTCTCGTCGCCTGCTCCACATTTCATAACTCCCAAGCTCACTTTCACATACCAACAACTGCTGCCTTGTGCTCGCTCCATCAACCGCGCTCTCACCTAGTCCTTATCCGCAGCAGCCGATCGAATTCTCCTTCCAGCCATGGCCAGCGAGACAAAAGTCGACAACGTGCGCATCGCAGTCGAGAAGGAGCTCGTCGCCGAAGTCGGCCCGCATGGACTCTCGTCGTTCTTCGTTACCACCTTCGTCCTCGCCGTTCATCTCACAAGTAAGCGGTTTCGCAGCAATGCACGCACCACATTTCAATTGCGCTGCTGAACAACTGTGTTATTTTCCGACCGAAATTGATTTCGACTCCTTTCATCGTCTGACGGTTTCCTTCTGTGCGCCTTGGCCTTGCAGATTGGGCACCCGACGTGATCTGGATCGGGCTGGCCGTGTTTTACGGCGGCGTGGGTCAGTTCGTGGCGGGCATGTGGGAGTTCAAGCGCGGCAACGTCTTCGTCGCCACCTCCTACTCCTCCTACGGCTGCTACTGGATGGCCGTCGCCATGCTCATGCTGCTCGACAAACTCGGCCTCGTAAGCCAAACCCACCCCTCCCAAACCTGCTATCAAAAGAGAAAAAATACTCGCCGAATCTCCCGCATTTCGCACGTTTCCTCATTATTTCGTCTTCGCCGCGCGTTCCGTTGGTGCAGGCGCCCGTCGGGTTCGAGACGATGAAGGCGCTGGGGTGGTTCCTGACGGCGTTTCTGGTGTTCAACACGTACATGACGTTCCTGACGCTGCTGCTCTCCAAGGTCGCCTTCGTCACCTTCTTCCTGCTCGAGCTCTTCTTCCTCTTCCTCGTCATCGGCTGCTTCCGCAACCACGCCCCCGGCCACGGCTGGACCGCCGCCTCCGGCTACGCGCTGCTCCTCACCTCAATCGCTGGTACGCCCCTTGCGTCGTACGCGCCTTGCGTCGTACGCACCTTGCGTCGTTTGCTCCAACATCTCACTCGCTCGTCTTTCCGCCTTCGACCCGTGGGTCGTCTTGCGTGCGTTTACTCACTGTGAGATATTATATTAATGAGTATGATCATCAAGACCGCTGTGGTAACTGCCAATACCATCCGCCTCTCAGGCCAATGGCAGTCCGCCTCGTCTGCTCACAGTTTCCCTCCTCGCTTTCTCCCCCTCGCCCCCCGTCCTTCCCCCCTTTTCCCCCTTCGATCGCGCCAGCGCTGTACATGGCGGCGGCGTCCATGTTCAACACGCTGGCCAACCGCACCGTGCTGTGGGGAGGCTCGCCGCTGCTCAAGCTCTCCAAGGGAAACTGATACGCGCACTCGCGCCGCCACCCTGCCTTGCCTCGGCTCCCATCGCCCTGCGTGGGCACTAGGAAAACTATAGCCACTATATGACTCCGTTGTTGCTTCTTCGTTGTGCGTTGTAGCATAGTGAACTCTTCATCCATATTTGCCAAATAAGGCCTTATAATTTTCTCACAACCTCACCCGCTGCTTAACGAGCCATTGGCTTTACTTCAAGGTTGTCTGGCTGTTCTCAGGGATTCGCAAGGGGTTGAGCTTATACAGTATTTAATTGCACGAGAATTATAGTTGTTGAAATGGCACAAGGTAGGTGGGCTTGGGATATGACTGATTGTGACAAATGCCTCTATCAGGAGAAACCAAGTTTGTGGGCTGGTTCTGCAAGAGTCATCCCCTCTGCAGCGAGACAGGTCTGTAGAAGACCAGAAGGTTCACCCTGCAAATGACCAAGGCTCACCTGCAGGAAATTGGTGACAGAAGTAAGGTAGTAGCAGTGGCAGATTGAAAAGGAGCACTTGGGGCCGAGGTCAATTGGACGAGGGATGAGGGGAATATGGTAGAATGAATGAATGCATGCAGAATGAGGAGCACTTGGACTATGGTATGGGAAGGATGGGTGCAAGCGAAGGAGCAGGAGACAGAGGAATCACAGAGAATGCAGAGGGGAAGAGAGGCAGTGGTGGGGCGCCCATGAGACAAGAGCATGGGCGTGCGTTGTTGGTGTAAAGAGGATACAGATGCCAGTAGGTATGGAGGCGCTTCTGAAGAGATAAGTTTCAGAAGCAAGGGGTTACAGGGAGGAAAGCAACGCAATGAATGAACGCCACATGATGGCCTGTGGCGACACACAACCAGGTCCGACGTGATGAGAGGAATCTGGTTGGAGCAGTGCACACTGAGATGAACCGGGAGCAGTGCACACTGAGATGAACCGGGAGCAGTGCACACTGAGATGAACCGGGAGCAGTGCACACTGAGATGAACCGGGAGCAGTGCACGCTGAGATGTACCGGGAGCAGTGCACGCTGAGATGTACCGGGAGCAGTGCACGCTGAGATGTACCGGGAGCAGTGCACGCTGAGATGTACCGGGAGCAGTGCACGCTGAGATGTACCGGGAGCAGTGCACGCTGAGATGTACCGGGAGCAGTGCACGCTGAGATGTACCGGGAGCAGTGCACGCTGAGATGTACCGGGAGCAGTGCACGCTGAGATGTACCGGTAGAGTTGATTCACCTCGGGTGCGAGCTTTCACCTCCCTTCATGGCTCCCGTCCTGCATGGCTCTAGAATCTCAGCAAACACTATCAATTCAAGCACACGGATTCATGAACCTTGGAGCAGTGACCACTTGGCAACTGAGATTATGGTGACAATCACAACATACGTAAGGCTCTTCCTCTTATGCAGATGCTAGCATGCTTGATTAACAGTTGTACCCAATGCCTTCCAAGGCACTGTCTGAGGCATCTGTGCTGTTGACGCTCAGCATCTCCAGCCGTGGCAGCCGTAGAGGTGCTTCATGCCCTGTGCACTGAAGCCAGAGCTGGATTGCAGTTAGATGCTCCTCACATCACATGGGTTGGGTCATGTCCTGGTGGACACATGACATGACACACGATGGCGTCTGAGAGGCCCTTAAACAAGACAGCGCCGCACTGGCATCGTGTGATACTGACCTGATTCTTTGGGTCCGGGGGAGGTGGATGGAAAGGACGGGTTCCCAGGATGAAGTTGTTAACGCACAAGCAGCCAAGCCTTTCAATGGGAGGCGGACGGTTAGACAAACACAGTAGAACGAATTGACGAGGAGAAGACATGGGAACATAACAGACTAAGAGGCTCACGGCACATGAGGTTGCACCTGAGAGAAATGGTAGTTTAGGACATGCTCACATGGGGCCGTGCAGCAGCGGGGTGATTCCACGTTGCTGCAGCATGGTGAAGGAGAGGAAGGGAAGGCAGGACGAGTGCTGAGGGGAGTGGAGGAGAGAGGAGGCAGCGAGATGGGCGAGGAATGTGCAGGTGCATGGAAAACAGGCATGACGCCATGAAGAGTGCGGCTGAAGCTTTAAAAGGGAAGGGGATAAAAGATAGACAGAGCGGCGAATCTGTAGTGGTGGAGGGCAGAGTGCATGGCATACCACGAGGCACTTGCTTGCGCTCTTCTCTTTCATCAGCCCAGCCATTCAGCCAAGCCCCGCTGATGCACCCATGCTCTGACTGACTTGCGTGTGGGTCACGCCCATTCCCCACAGCAGCGTTCTGAGAGTAGCGATGACAACATACAGCACGTGAATATGCATTGCATGCACCTGGAGACTGCAGACGTGTCACGTGGGACAAGGGGGTAACACGGGAACATGCGAGGGGCAAAATGTGACCGCATTCCCAATCTTGTGATACTGACTTTAAGGGTGGCAGCATGGCTGGTTTGTTGCAGTAAGGTGCCGATATTGAAAGCTTGAGTTATCCTATCATGCACCAGTACGTGGGGCCAGTGAGGAGGCATGTTCCAAGTTGAGGCATGGAGAGAAGTGGCGACTGCATGGGCATGCATAGGCGATCCGCGTGTGGCATTCTGACACGCGGCAGTGGCGTTGAGCAACAAGGCGGACAACACATGCAATGCGGGGCATGCACACATGCGCATGCATGCATATCCACACACACACACACACAAGAGACAGAGAACAATATAACAGGTATGCATAAGGTGGTAAACCTACATAAGAATACGAAAGGAAAGCATGACAAAGGCTTGTGCTTGCACGAGGGGGGAAGGAAAGGGCACTGGCGCATGCTGAGAGTCAAGGCAAGAAAAAACGGCGAGACTGAAATTGCAAGGAGGACATGGCGCACGCACGTCATGGTAGTGGCGATCATCACTCGCATCCTCTGCCACTGAAGCACGCCAACAGCAACAGGCACTCCTCCCACGAGGTGCAGTGATGCTGATGACAGCGATGGCAGCGGCGAGAAGGAGGGTGATGAGCAGGCGTGGCAGCAGCATGGGCAGTGCAGTGATCCGAGGCATGGCTGATGAGATAGCTCAATGCCGGGCGTGCGCCTGTGCAGTGAGATGCACAGGGTCAGCAGGGGAAAGCAGCAGGGGAAAGGGTGGTGGGGGGCAGCAGGGGCAAGGGGGGAGGTGGGCAGCAAGCAGGGGCAGGGGGGACA